AGGAAGGAAGGAAGGAAGGAAGGAAGGAAGGAAGGAAGGAAGGAAGGAAGGAAGGAAGGAAGGAAGGAAAGAAAGAAACATGGAAAGAAAGAAGGAAGAAAAGAAGGAAACCACAGAAACCAAAACATTACTTTACAGCTGTATGGAAATGGACATGAAAAGCCCTGAATCCAATAGGGGCAGAGATCAGATGCATGCCAAAAGGATAATCAAAGTAAGACCTGTTCTACCTATGATTCACACCTATTGGAGCTAGCCATCACAGCAGTAGGACAGCAGCTGGGGGTGGAGGTGATCTGAACAGCACCATACGGACCAGAAGCTGACAGAATTCCGGATGCAAACTGTCCTCTGGCACCTTTTGACAAGCGAGTGCCTGCTTTCCTGCCATCAGCAGGAAGCAGACCCCTGGCTGGTCTGATTAGGATTGTTTTTATCTGGCTCAGCTTTCTTCTCCTTATCCAGGTTTGGAAGCACTTCCCAGATACATCCCATTTTACACTTCATTTGCTTGCACACACATCCAGCCAATCAGAATCTACCTGACTCTGTGCAGTCCAATTTGTCAGGTTAAAGAGTGTTAGGTCTCAAACTCAGGACAAATGGCTGAGGTATATATTTAACATTGCAAAGCAGACCTGGCTGCCAGGTTCTCCCAGCATCCCTCAGTCCCTACCTGTTACAGGGCCCTCCTGGCTGGCATACCCCACTCCCTACCCTAAACTTCTACAGCCCAGGATGGGCTGCCATTCCCCCTACAGCTCTTCCCTATATAATTCAGCCGTTTGGCTATACTGGCCTGTTGAGGGGTTGTTCTAATGCTAGCCCTCAAGATCTTGTTAAACCTATTCTTGTTGTGTAAACCTGCCTAAGTCATTATACCTGATTGGTTGATTAAATGGCCTATACCTGGGCAGGGCAGAATGGGGTAGGTGTGGCTAAGGTTCCTGGGCTTCTGGTTCAGGAGAATCATGGCAGAAAGACAGGAAGAGAGGAGGAAGGAGGATGCCACAGTGGGTTAGTATGGAGAAGAAACCATGTTAGCTGGGAGGAAGGACCCCAATAATGGCATGAAAAGGCCCAGATAAAGAATACAAACAAGGGATTATGTATGGAAGGTAAACCAGATGTGGAGGATTAAGGCAGATGGCATTGGATGGGGACTGGGAGATGGATAGTGAGGTTATTGAGACAGTGTGAGTGAAATATCTGCCCAGCCCAAGGTAAATAAGGCAATTATAAAATCTCACAGGTGTCTGTGTCTTATTATTTATGATAGTGGGTTAGATAATACCACTGTGATATTATTACTTTATTATTATTATTATTATTATTATTATTATCATTATCATTATTATCACTTGCCCTTTTGGTCTCCTGGCTCTCTCCTAGCCTCATGGCTTGTGGTTTTCCCGTCTTCCATCCCACCTCACCTCACATGGCTCACTCTGCTGGCCATGTTCACTTTGGACTGTCTCAGAGTCTCTGCCCCAGCCCGTGCTCTCCCTTATGTCTCTAATAAAAACCTCAACCTTGAGGGGCAGTCATGGACTTTCTTTCTTTCTTTCTTTCTTTCTTTCTTTCTTTCTTTCTTTCTTTCTTTCTTCTCGTTCTTGTTTTTCATTTAAAGAGCAATGGTTACTCTTCCTGAGGACCTGAGTCTGATTCTCAGCTCCTACATGGTAGATTACAATTATCCACAGGGAACCAGAAGAATGGTCTCTAGCCAGCCCAAGGATGGCAAACAGGGCTCCAGCAGACCATGCCTTTTTTCCATTCCCTCTTCCTTAGATTACATTAATAAAGCTAGCCACCAAGGATTATTCCCTTATTTGACCACTTCCTTCTTGTGAGGCTGACCACCAAGGTCAATCTATCAAAGTATTGAAGTCTGGCCTTTTGGCTCACTTAATTAACATGCCCAATTAAAATTAAACACCTCATCCTACCTTTTACTTTTGTTAACTTTTATTTATTTGTTTACTCACTTACTTACTCACTAATTTTTGGTTTTTGAGACAGAGTCTCTCTGTGTGTCCCTGGCTGTCCTGGAACTCACTCTGTAGACTAGGCTGGTGTTGAACTCAGAGATCTGCCTGCCTCTGCCTCCCTAGTGCTGGGTTTAAAGGCGTGTGCCACCACACTCCGATCCCTTTTACCTTTATAAATTGCCATTTGCCTGTGTGCCATGTCTGTTTCATCTCTATCCAGAGGCAGTCCTTTGTCCCTCCAGGATTAGTATCTCTTCCCAGAAAAATATCCCTCCCCTCTCTCTAGTAATTATTTTGAATTCTAATTTGGGGGCTGCGGTCTTATTCAAGAGACTAAGGCTTTTTCAGCTCCATGGAAGGAAGATGTAGTGTCAAGTTTGACCTCACTGATAACACTGAGACAGGCTTAGGTCAGATTCATCCTTGAAATGTAACTATTCATAGCACAGGCTGACATCACACCCTGGCTGATAAGGCTGGTGTCTATCCTTTCCTGGACATGGCTCTTGCACCTTTGACTCCCTAGCACACTGTCTTAGCAATCCTGACACCTCTCACTAAATAAGTGACCTTAGAGGTGTCTGCTGAACCTGGAGATGACAGTCAGGACAAAAACACCTGTTCTCTCGCTGGTCGGTGGCATGCTGAAAAACCACAAATAGGCCTTCCTAACAGCTCGGGGTGACAGAGAAGCATTGCGGGACTATTGTCATCAGCCACAGGTGTCTGATGCTCTCTCCACCCTCAGCCTGTCCCATCCAGGATTGAGAGTCTTGCACCACTTCTCAAATTCGCCTCCCCAGATACATCATGGATAACCGCTGTCTTCTTGGAGGCCATTTTAACCAAGTCAAGACTCATTTGGACTTTCTCTCTTGACAGGAGACTGTGAGAGAACTGACGTGGTGGGTAGCATGGAAGAGTGACCTTGGAGGTCACTGTACCATTAGCAGAAGTGTGAATGGCATTCAGATTTGTGCCCAGGCAGCAGGAATAGAGACAGTGGCATTCAGTGGCCTGCCTGACTGCTTCATCTTTCATATCCCATTATTAACCTCCTGAGGGGCAGTGTTAGAGGTGTCCCAGCCAATGTGTGTCCCCTCTCTCCCATTCCTGTGGTAAAATAACAGTTCTGAGCATGAATAGCTCATTCCCTTCCATGGAACGGGAATGATTCTCCACAGGAATGATGGCTGGAGTCTCTTCTGTTAAACTGAAAGTTGCCTGAGTGTCTGGTGGTTGAATGCACGATGCCCTAAGGGATATGGCACAGCTGCTGGAAGTGATATTTTTTAGAACTTGACAATGGTACAAAAGGTAAAATGTCAATAAGAAGAATTAAAGTCAGCTGGGATGGCAGCGCACACCTTTGATCCCAGCACTCAGGGAGGCAGAGGCAGGCAGATCACTGTGAGTTTGAGGCCAGCTTGGTCTGCAGAGTGAGTACAGGACCCTGGCACAGCAGCTCCAGGTCAGCCCCTGTCCCACCAGAAGGATTCCAGGCAGAGCCCATTCAGAGCAAAATCTGCTATGCCATCTCTCAAATTATCTGAAGTTTCTTTAAGGCCAAGGACGGAGCATGAACCCCAGCTGAGAGAGCAGCCGTGGAGATGGGATACTTGTGAGTCCCAGGTCATCAGAGGAGGACCAAGATGACTGCAAACCCCAGGAAAGCTGACTTCCCACGGAATGTGTATCAGCAGGCTCCAGCCAGCCTTCCTTAAACCTCCACAGATGGGGTGACGTCAGCTGACATCTGGGCAGCATTCCTTATCAAGGAGTTCTAAGGGAGACACAGGAGGCACGTTCACTGCCTTTGTGGAGATCAAGAAGCTGAAAGAAACAGCCAGCACATAATTACAAACCAGAAAATGTCCGCAGGCTCAAATGCTGCCCTGAATCTCACAGGAAGAAACGCCACAGATAAAGGACGAGGCCCACACCTGAGATTAAGAGCAGGCAGCCTGGGGCCAACTTTTCGGGCTCCACCATGGCTGGGCCTTCCTGAGGACTGTAGAAGAGATAGATGCTGGGGTGGGAAGTTAACAATTGCTTGACCTTAAATATTATAACTGTTTAAAGAGCAAGATTCTGGAAGACGCAAGCTCTGTGAATTTAAGCATACATTGCTGTGGGGTATTAATGTGTGACTCAGTAAGATCCTCTGGGAAGTTTCAAGTCGGTGAACACAGTGTTTTCAGCCTTGTCCAGGAGCTCTTCTGCACACAGCTAGAGATGATAGAAGATCCCACTGGGAAATATCCCTGAATCTCCACCTCCTGCAGCACTCCAGAGTTGAAGTGAGCCAGGCAAGAGTAGCTGCGAACGTGATGAAGAGGACAGGATACAAAAACATTAGGTCACTGTGTTGCTGTGCAAGTCTTGTGTCCCAGCCCTGAAGTACCACAGGCTCCAGGTTTTCCTGTGAGTGCACGGATGTAAAACCTAGCCCTTACCTTGAGAGAATGGGGGGCGCTAAATATGAATGAGTACGGCCTGAAAGCATGGGTTTGGGTTATCCCAAAAGACGTAGTCCGCCGTGGAAGCGGTTACAGACAGTTTATTAGTTACAGAATAAAGAAAGTCATCAATCAAAGCATTTATTCAATATGAAATACATTTGAGGAGACCACAAGTAAGAGCCGACACAGGTTTCACATGCTCTCTGATGACGGGCGTGGCTTTTGGGATGGGCGGAAGCCCGGGTCTGCTAAGCACAGGATGTTAGGTGGGACACACAGTGGTGGGCAGTGACCGGCTTTCAGGGGAACTAAAAATAGTTGTAGAGAATATGGTCAGCAACAGCCTAACTCTCGATAATCTCAGTCAGCCCCTTGGCCTTGTAGAATTTTTACCGTAGGTGTGTGGCTTTTCTCTTTTCAGTTTACAGGAGGGAAGAAGGTGGCCACCTTGCCCCCTGGCGGAATGGGTTCTGGTCTGGCCTGGTGTCCGTGAATCCCTCTGTGTATCTGCCAAAGAATGATGGGTCTGACTCTGTGGATTAGAACTTAATACAGATGAAAAGGCCCCTGCCCTCAACGTTCTTTCTGATAGAGCTGGAAGTCCTGAATGGACAGTGGGCCCTTCGCAGAGACGGAGAGCGGCAGAGTCGTGGGACATGTGTTTGAGACACAGGACAGACAGGGTGGACACCTGTTGTGAGTGCAGGACTTCCCATCCCTGTGAGAAAGACCCCATCTTACCTGTGTCTCTGCTTCCAGCTGTTTACGAAGAAGATGAAGCCCTCTTCATGCCTGCTGCCAGAGTGCCACCTCCAGTAGCAAGCATACCAGGAAAACGCATGGACAGCCTGGCCAGCAAGCAAGTGGAATAGGCAAAGATGGCTCGCCATGGACCAGCATGGCCATTCATCAAGCAGAGGCCAAATTGCTATCTGTCTCATGGAGTTCATTGGTGATTCCCATATTTATGTCCATGATTTATGTCTGGATGTCACCATGCACTTTGTGAGAGTACTAAATGTGTGATTTGTAGACATCAACACTCGACTGCTTCCCAGTTTAATAATAGCTTAAAGGGCCCTGCAGCCCGCTCACCTAGGCCAGCAGAAAAGGGTTGGTTTTGAGTTCCAGCAGACTGATGCGAACACAGAACATTTCGGAAAAGAAGCGTTCCCCTTACAGCTGTCTGTTGGACAGGAGTTTACGGCAAGGTGGTAAAAGTTAAGCTAAGGGCCTGGCCGCTTTGACCTCAACAGGTCTTAACCACTTTTTCTCTTGGCTCTGATGCTGTCTTATTTTGGATCACAAAGCAAGAACAGTGTATTGTTTTTGTCGTTGCCTTTTAAAAGAGCTGAAAATACTGTTCTCCCTTTAGATCTGCATCTGTGTGTGTCTGTACAATACACACACACACACACACACACACACACACACACGGGGTTGCATACAGACCCCTGGTGGCCCTCTCCTTGGTGGACTGAGACGGGGCTGACGCAATGTTCTTCAGCTTGACAGCTGTGTGTAACTCACATCAGCCGTATTTATGATATGTCTGCTCTTTATTTAAAATTGAGTTGAAGGGCTACGGCTGTGACTCAATGGGAAAGCACGTACCTACCATGTGTGGGGTCCCATCCTTTCCCTCCCAATGTAAAGGACCTGGGGGAGCATCTAAGGGCCTTGTAATGGCTTGTATCAGGAAGGGTCTCTGACAGTCTGACATTGCTTGCTGGACGCTCTCTAGGAGACAGAGCAGAGTAGAAAGGCTTAACTTTCCTATTCCATAGGATCCTAGGAAAATTCACTGCGGTAACCAGCACAAACCTATGGATCTTGTCACTACTTCCTGTAATCCAGTTACGTTCCCGGCATTCAGAATCACACAGTGGCTATCATACAAGATGAATAAAAATTTGAACTACTGCTACTTTGACAGAACAAATAAAAATGACCATTTATTAGGTTAATACATCACAAGCATCAAGGCTGCTTCCTTTGGGGATGGAGAGTCTGGTTCTGGGCAAAGAGCCTGGAGCCTGACTGGCACAGGGCTGAAGAATCTCCAACGGCAGCTTGCACAGAGGTCAGGACCCAGAAAAGGAGCACACCCTTCCCCGAATTCCTGCACTGGTATTTACCACATCTGGGACCCACCAGTCTTGATGATGTTTTTATAGGGTTGGTTTGAAAGGTAATTATCTCTGTGCGCTTGACTTTCAATATCCAAGCAACTCTTCTAGAACCTATAAAAAGGCCGGTGGGGGTGGGGTAGCTGCACCAACCCCACCTTCCAACTCCCATTTCCTTCCTTCTAATCAGTTAATAGGTCTCAGGAGGCTGTTAGAAGACAGTCTGTTCAGAAGCTCTTAATTTTTTCTTTGTTTGAAACTTCTTCTTTCCTGATTCACAAGCCACTAAAACAGCAAGAATGAGAATGCAGCTCTGGCCTTCCTTTGAAAAGAAAGAGGAATGAGGTGGGGATGAGGGTGGGGCGGAGAGGCATCAGAGCTTCCTAGTAAGTGAAGACATGTGTGGCCGGAACACTCAGAATCGGGAGGAATGGTCTCAGTCCTGCCCTCGATCTCCCGCCCTGGGCCACCTCGTCTTTGCCATGGAATAAGTAGGAAAGTGTATCTGAAGTTCCTAAGACTTGTGCCAGGAGAGTCATGTACGTTGGACTTGGTTTGAGTGATTCTTGATGCTGGTTTTTGTAAATGGGTCTTTGTGGGAGTGCAGGCAGGTGAGCGGGGAGCTAGCCCTGGTGGAAAGCTCTGAGCACTGGCTTGCTCCATGGTGCACTTGTCATTCACAGAGGTGCTCAGGCAAAGACGCCAAGTGCCACCTTTGCAGCAAGGGTTTCATCACTTTTTGGACAGCCTTGGAAAGCTGTTGCTTCAGCGTCTGTTGACTAGCCAAGGCTGTACAGACCCCAGAGGTCAAACTTTTTGACAATAGCTGCCTTTCCTTCCCTTTCCTTCCTTCTTTCTTTCTTTCTTTCTTTCTTTCTTTCTTTCTTTCTTTCTTTCTTTCTT